TGCCATCCCCACAGTGAGTCCTGCCATCCCCACGGCGAGTCCTGCCATCCCCACAGTCAGTCCTGCCATCCCCAGGGTCAGTCCTGCCATCCCCAGGGTCAGTCCTGCCATCCCCACGGTGAGTCCTGCCATCCCCACAGTGAGTCCTGCCATCCCAATGGGTGAGTCCTGCCATCCCCAAGGTCAGTCCTGCCATCCCCAGGGTGAGTCCTGCCATCCCCAGGGTGAGTCCTGCCATCCCCACAGTGACTCCTGCCATCCCCACGGTGAGTCCTGCCATCCCCAGGGTGAGTCCTGCCATCCCCACAGCGAGTCCTGCCATCCCCACAGTGAGTCCTGCCATCCCCAAGGTGAGTCCTGCCATCCCCACGGTGAGTCCTGCCATCCCCAGGGTGAGTCCTGCCATCCCCATGCCATCCCCATGGTCAGTCCTGCCATCCCCACGGTGAGTCCTGCCATCCCCATGGGTGAGTCCTGCCATCCCCACAGCGAGTCCTGCCATCCCCATGGGTGAGTCCTGCCATCCCCATGCCATCCCCAAGGTCAGTCCTGCCATCCCCACGCGGAAGGACAGCGGTTTGTCCCGCAGGCAGCGCTGGCAGTGGGACAGCTCTGCCCCAGCACACCGCACCAGCCGGGCAGTCAGCCGGACTGAAACCTGGGTGGGAGCTGTACAACAGTGATCCCCACTCTCCCACAGGAACAGTCGCCGCGGAGGGCTGCTACCGGGAAACTGAAAGGTGTATCGTCCGTCTTGGCGGGTGCTACGCGGGAGGAGTGTGACAGAGTTACTTTATCCCCGTAAAACAGCGTGCTGGAAACAACAGTACGAGAGGAAGACACGCCGACCACAGGCACACACCACTCTGCAGGTGAAGTGTCACTTGGTTTGAAGCTTGGGAAAAGAACACGACGGATCAGGATGCACCGCCGTCCGCAAACGTCACCGAGAACTCGTGCCACGCTCACACCGGGGCGTTCAAAATGCATCAGACACAACTTTTCAATCGTCTCCTCCTGCCTGGGCAGAGGCTTCAGGAACACACAAACCTGTGCAACATCTGAACAAACCCACAGGTATTTTATGAAGAAAGGCTGTGCTTCGCTAGATACCTTTACACCCGTACAGGTTGCTGCCAAGAGGCTTAGCCCTGCTCCTGCTGATTTTAAGGAGCAAGGATTGGACAAATCCCGGGAAAGACTGACCTCAGCAAAGTTCCTGATCCTCTCAGAGGGGTTCTGCACACCCCAGGGAGACGTGGAAGACAGTCTTTTATAAAATCATTTGGAGGGCAAGTCACGGGGGCTGTGTGACAAGCCACAGTCTAAAGGTGGTCCTTTAGGTGACGTATTTTTGTAACTTACACTGTGTAACATGACAAAATGCATCCCGGTGGCACCTGTTTCCCTTTGCACACTGCCTAAGAGAATTTTCTGTACAGATAAAGACCAGTAAGGTTAGGTTATTATTTTGAATAAAGCAGCCAACAGAAAAAAAATCATGTTAAGTAGAATATGAAAAAGGAAACTGGTTCCTTACTAGCCAGCAAGATTAGTGGTTGTAATTAGTCCAAGGATTAATTGTACCTGAAGGAAAACTGAACATCAATCTATGCATCTTAAAATTCTATGTATCAAAAAGAAATAATTCTGGAGAAGATGAAAGAGAGTGAAATGGACTTAAACGGAACAGGTTACCTGCTGCCAACAGGAAACAATGGCTGCAGAGCGGGTGAAGTCCCACCAGCCCAGAGCCAGCCCGGGGCTGCTCCTGAGGGCCCGCAGCTCTGCTAGGGACTGCTTTTCCAGGATTTCCGGAAGGATTGCTACGTGGGAAAGCTTGTGCTTGGGAAAATCCCGCTGCCAGCTGCTCAGAACCCCGTCCTCCTTCCAAGGGAAGCCACTTCCCCAAGCTACAGCTTCTGCTGGGGGCTGCCGTGGACAGCAGCCGCAATCCCTGGAAGCAGAGCGGGCTGAGGGGTGGATCCTTCACTCCCCTGCCTCTGGCCGCTCTCGGCCGGGACAGGCGTCACTGCATTTTGGGTGCTTTTGTCACTCGTCTGTCTAACTGGCTGCGTGCGCTCCCAGCGCTGCGGAACTCCACTGGCACAACGCAACAGGCTTCAGACCAGGGCTGGACTTTCAGGAGGCAAAAACTAATGCATACGTTGAATAAATAATTTCTTTCTCGGTAAGGTCGCTAATTTAAATACGATACAAACAAGGCATAGCAAAAATAGATGAAAGAAAGCACTCTGTAGAAACGTCCTGGTGTGTGTTGGTGTCTTTTGCACGCTCGCGTGCGAGTGCGAGCCCGTGTGCAGTCAGCACTCAGCAGCGAGCGCTTCGAGCCCCACCACACAACACTTTTACCACAGCGTGAACACCACGGCTTTTTCCCCACATCACTCTTCTCTGTGCTTTTATAATCAGTCTTCTTTCCCCACGCGGGCGGCACCTCCTCAAAGCTCACTGCTCTTCGCGTGAGCTTGATTTCAGAGCCTGTGGTGCCCCAGGGGTGCTGAGAGCATTGTCCCTGCTCTGTTCTGGCCTGTTCTGTGTAGCTGAGGATACCAGAGCAGGGTAAATTCTGAGCTTCGCCTCTTTGGACGACGCCTGCCAGCACAGCGCTGCTGGCACATCCATCTATTTATTTACTCCTGTCCTTTTTCCTGCAGCAGGCTGGAGCAGCCGGTGTCTTTATTTACTGCGCGCTGCTGGCTCCAAGTGAGCCCACTCTGGAGATTTGCAGGGTGCAGTCTCATAAAATCACACACGAGTCTTGTCCTGAGGACAAGGGGGTGCGAGGGAGACAACAACCTGGCTTAGACTAAACAGAATCTTGAAAGAATTAAAAAATCAAGTAAAGATCCTTTGGTACATCATTTTGCAGTCCATTGCTTAAAATCTCCTTGCAAAATCTCTAAAAAGATTTCCATAAATCACTTCAGGTCCTACTTCTACTTGAAAAAATGTATTCCGCAACAGGATTTGTTTTTGAACAAATGTTTTTAAACTGTTTTTTTTAAACAGTCTTTGTTTTTAAAAGCTATTAAGCGATTAGTATATTTTCAGGCTTCCCAAGGACAATTTGAACTAGCTCGCATTTTTCCTGAGAACAGATTTCATGGAGTGATGAAAACAAAGCTGCAGTCTTTGCTGCAGACTCCACAGGTGCACATCTCGCTGCCCCTCCAGGAAACAGCAGCCAATGCCACAAGGATGTCTGGGCATCTTTAAACATTACACAAAACCCATCAGACTCTTGAAGTTGTCTTTTTGCCCTTTTGGGTTTTTTTTCTACGACAAGTGGCCTCCCCTGATGTCACAGCTAATCCGGCGTGACAACGCTGGGACAATCAGAAGACTGATTATAAAAGGCAGAAATAAATAATTTTGGAGGTCAGCAGCGATGAGAGAGCTACAGTTCACCATCAAACGCATGCAGCTAAAATACCACCGATGGAATCCCTGCGTCTGGTGCTGGCTCTAAACTAGAAACGCGGTGTTATAACTTAAATTAATTCTGGGATTAGCTCTCTCATCCCTGCGGCAGACGCCAGGTACTTGGGAGGAATCAGGTGAAAAAGAGGGGGGGGTAAAAAATTTTAAAAAAAAGGCAAGGAAATGAGCACAAATAAATTAGAGGAGTCGGAGACGGCGATTATGTTGGTCTGAGGAGGGGATCCCTGCAGAGTAGGAGGTGCTGCCCGTGGCGTGGGGCCGTGTCAGTGCACCTTGGACTCGGGCCAGTCGTACACGTCCGGCATGAAGGACTCGTACTCGTAGGTCCAGACCTTGGAGCGGATGTAGCGGCTCTTGTCGGCCGGCTCGGGGTAGTGGAAGGCCATGTTGTTGGCGTACAGGAACTCCATCACCTGCGGAGGCAACACCCGCAGACGGTGGTGAACAGCTGCCTCGCCGGGATTCCCAGGTAGCAGCGAGAGAGCTGTTGTGGGAATTCCCTCTGGGAAGTCTGGCAGGGCTCAGGAATCCATGGACAGAGATCACAGACAGTGTCTCTGGGGGCTCGTAGAGCCCCCAGAGACACTGTCTGTGATCTCTGTCCATGGAAATGAGTTTTCAGTCTCACAGCATGAATTACAACCTCTGAGTGATATAATAATTAAGTGTGGCACGGGTGCAAAAGTC